AATCAGTCAGCTCTACTTTAACTCTTTAGATTATATACCCACTCATGAATAGTTTTTTATATCAGGAGATTGAGGGCAAAAATGGGTGTAAAGAATTAATCATCACATTTGGTCATCAACCAATCCAGCAAGAATGGTACATCAGCTAGTAATAATTGGGCTGCTTTGTTCTTGTTCCCTGGCCTTAAAGAGGGTTCCTCATTCAACTATGTGCTTTTCTAAAAATTTAGATTATTTTCTTGAGTTTTTCACCTTAAAGCTATTTGAAGAAAAAAAAATCTTAGTCTAAGTTATTTCCAAAGCTTTGTTTCAGCTGTGATGCACTCTGAAACCTGTGAGCACATCTCCCAACATTAAGGTTAAAAGAATTCAAGCTAGCTGGGCTAACTGGGACTCACACAGAAGAGAGGTGCAACAGTGGACCCATGCTCATGGAATCCACTGGTCTTACCATGTTTTCTACCATCCTGAAACAGCTGGCCATATAGAAAGAAGGAATGGCTTTTTGAAGAAACAGTTTCAGGGCCAATTAGGTGGCAGCAGCCTGGAGGGCGTGGCAGGGTTCTCCAGAAGGCAATAAATGCTTTCAATCAGTGTCCAATATATCATATGGTTTCTCCTTTACCCAGGTTCTAGGTGTCCCAGAAAGCATGGGAAGAGAAAGTGAAAGATATCCTCTTACTATCATTCCTAGTGACCTGCTAGGAAAATTTTGCTCCCTGTTCCCTCAACTCTAAATTCAGCTGCTCTAGAAGTTTTGGTTCCATGTAATTTCAGTTCCTGCCAGGATCTGAAACAAACATTCCATTGATCTGGAAGCTCAGACTTCCCTCTGGTCACGTTTGGCTTCGAATGCCCTTAAACCAAGAAGCTAAGAAAGTAATAAACATGTTAGGAGGGGTGCTTGATACATATTACCATTGGAACAATGTTTTCTTCAATTCATTTTGCTTTTTAACCCAATGAGATTGACCAGGGCCACATGTGAGATTGTGGGTTTGGACCTATGTGTGGGAGCTCAGCAGAGGACTGCAGCTAAAGGCAGTGATTCTTCCACAATCCATCCATAGACAAAATATGAGAGGTAAAGGGTGTGTCCTGTGAGCCTTTCTCTTTCCCAGACTGATTGTGGTCTAGTGTGAGGTCCATGCAGGTCAGTACAGCTGCTGTTGGTTACTGATTACAACAGCTGTATGGAGTCTAAAGAATGGAATGTCTTAGCCCTTCCTCCTCTTTCCTTTCTTATTCCCTTCTTCCTCCACTTCCTCAGTGTTCCAAGAGCCATAGATGGGATGGTGTAACTGACGTTTTTATGCCTGGGACCACACACCTTTCTTGTCTTCTACAGCTGGGGCAGCCAATAGTCTGCATTCACCACTACATTAAAATTCTTTCCTTTGTTTTATCTAAAAGGACCTTTAGCATAAGTCACAGAAGATAAACTTGTTCCTGAGTTAGTAAAACAACAAGACCACACCATCAAGTGGTAAGAGCAGCACAGCCCGGAATGAACTCAGCCCTAGCCTGTTAGTAATGGGCTTATGAGTGACTTCACTTGTTTCTTTTAAAAATCCAAGTTTCTGAAATGTCGCTCCCCAAGGCACAATTGCAGTATTTGGTTTTGGCTTGTCATGTTTGTGTTTGCGATGGGACGCTGGCATCTCACTTTAGCGGGTTATCTTTGGTGTAAATTGTAGCCCCTGAGGCTGGTAGTCCAGTCGAGGTTCGGCTGCCTGTCTTTTATCTGAAGGGTTCAGAACTCAATGTTTGGGTCAGATACCAGGGTGCAGCGTCCTCCTAGATCCAGTTCTGGTCTAGAATAGCAGCGAGCATGTGGGAAGGTTGTGCAGAGCGGGTCCAGGGCAGCCTGACAGCTGGAGCTGTGTGGAAGGCAGCCCGAGATGGGGAAGGACCAGTTCCTTGAGGCGGGGACACTCACCCGGAAACGGAGGTTGGGAGGATGTACCATATTGGCTTGTGTAGAAGAATGATGGAGAATGGGAGGGATTAGAGGCGTGATGTAAACGGAAGCTGGGACTAACTGTGAAGTTGAATTGTGGGCCATAGCCAGAAGTGCCAACTACATTCTCTGTAGTTGCTTCGGGGCCTGCACGGTGGGGAATCCCGTGGTGCAGACCTGGGAGCAGAGGACACGGCGGGGTGTCGCGAGGACGCGAAATCTCCCCGGAGCCGCAGTCTCCGCGCGGGGCGGCCTGGGAAAGTCACCAGTCAGCAGCGCAGTGGCGGGAACCGCAGCCCGGTGGCCCTGGAACCTCCCAGGTCAGAGGAGCTGCGGGGCTGGGACACGGGAGGGGAGGGACCGGGGATGTTTCTCTGATGTTCTTAAGGAAGCCAGCTGTGAAATTCTGCTGTGGATTTCTTTCCCTTATCGGTAAATTTTCGATCATAATAACTGGAACAATCCTGTTTTTCCCCCTATTATCTTCTGATACCAAAATATCCTAATAAGAATAATTGAGTAGGATATTTGAATTTAATCTGTTGATATTTGCAAACGCGGTTCTGTTTGCAATGGTGGAAACAACAAAACTCTTGAAATTGACAATCATCCATACTAACTTCCCTGTTATATTGCTTCCTTATTCAAAAGAGGAGCACATTTACCTGGAGACTTGAATTTCCCATGAACTTTTAGATATTAATCATGAACGGAACGCCTGCAAATTTCATTGAATCTGAAAGTATATATATTTCGAGTTCCTCAAGTATGGTTGTAAACATTAACCTTTAAAAGTTAAATTTTATCCACCATTAATTTTCCATCTGAGTCATATGCACACTGGGATGTAAATACAGCATTCTGAAAAGTATCTTTGCCAGGCCTGGCGGTACAGGCCTTTAACCCCAACACTCAGAAGGCAGAGGTAGGTGTATTGCAGTGATTTGGAGGCCAGCAAGGTCTACATAGTGAGTCCCAGGACAGCCAGGGCTATTTGGTGAGACCCTGTCTCAAAGAACAATAAATTAAAACAACAACAAGAAAAAAAAAATACAAAGAAAAATATAGACCATGAAATGCAAAATGTGTATTTTTTGTGCTGAGTTCTTAGTGCTGCATCTTAGGGCCTGGAAAAGCACAGTATGCTGTCTTATGGTATCAGATCACAGTATTTTCACAGTTAGTAAAGGTGTTATAAACCAGGTGGTGGTGGCACACTCCATTCATTAATCCCACCATTGGGGAGGGAGAGACTGGTGGATCTTAGAGTTCCTTGCCAGCCTGGTCTACAGTGTGTGTTTAAGGATAGCCAAGGATACACAGAGAAACCCTGTTTGGGAAAGAAAGAGAGACAGAGAGAGAGAGAGGGAGAGGACATTAACAGGTATTGTGGCCTCTGCTGGCACCTGGGGCCATGGTGACATCCCAGCCCCAGCTGTTTCCCTGGTCCTACCACTGCCTTGGTCCTTACCGACGTCCCCGGCCCATTTTTTCACCAAAGGCCACATGGATGTCCCAGGTATGTTTCCTCAAGGCTGGCTTCTTGGCAAATTGCACTGCAAGTGTGTGACCTGTGTGTGAATGAGTCTCACTTCTCGAAGAGAATAGTGAAATCCTCAGATGAAAAAAGAAAAATTTCAAGAAATTTTCTCCCTTTGTGTCCCTTTGGGAGGTGTAAGGCTTCATCATTATTGGTCCGTGATCAATTCAGAACCTCACTAGGATATAATATTCTGTTCCCAATCATTCAGTACCATTTCTGCCCCTGAGTTTTGACTGAGCTGTGATTGGAAGTGGGATTCAAGTTACAATAACTAAAAATGTTTTCTAATTGTTTTCAGTATTCTGATCCTGCAAGACAGTTGGGGAATCACTTGTCTAATCCTATATTTAGTTTTCTCTTCATTTCCTGAGCACAGTCCTGTGTTAGAAATACAGGTGCTTTCTGAACAATCTTTTTCTCATATGCAGGGCTCACTTATCAACCAGACCTGCTCACCTGTGCAGCAGAACAAAGTGACCTGGAAGGAGAGAGGAGGCAGTAAGGATGCAGGTATCATGTAGAGATTGGTGAAGGAGTGAAAAGGGGATTAAGTGAATGTGGAAGTGGGACATGAAATCAGTTTTCCCACATTCTGTTTCACTAGAGATAATTCCGGAGACTTCCACTGAGGAGAAAATTCTCAGGATTATCCTGATGTAGGCATGAGAAGATTTCTACAGAATAATTGATAATGGAGTCAAATAAAATTTTATTTGACTATGCATGTGAGTGATGCTTATTCATTCACATCATGGATCATGTTTTCATACCATTATTGAGTCATTTTCACTTCTTTGTTTTAATATATTATAAAATGATGAAAATTAATACCTCTAGGTTTATTTATTGTTTTCAGAATTTTTGAGCTTTGGTATTCTAGTACATTCTCTACCTTTTAGTTTTTGTTTTTTTTTTTTTGTCTCCGTCCCTGAAAATCTTGCCAACAGTGTTTTGATGAAGAATCAGGAAGTACATATACAGACTGTTAAACTGTGTCTACACTGTCTTCTCATTGATATCTGATATTGTCTGTTGGGAATTAGTGTAAATATTTAGAATGTAATTAAGGGTTATGCTTTTTTAGTAAAGTACTGGTTGTAGGTTCCCCTCCAAGATCCATGCCTTTACTAGTGCTAGGGAAACTGGCTAGGTTTTTAGTACCAGACATGTTTTCCCTCTTTTTGAGAGGGTCTTAATTCATATATAAACTGTTCATTACCACCAATGTCTGTGTGCCTCTCTTACACCCTGAGGGCTATCATGCAGTCCAGATTATTGTTATGGTTCATGGGTGTCATAGCTGGGTTGGACTGTTGACTGGCTCCCTTCTTTGGAAGGTGAAATGTTGCATTCTGGTACCATGAAAGCTAGTCCCTAGGAAGGAGGGTCTAAAGTCATATCCATCTGGAATTTTCTGGGTTCTGTCTGAAGTGCATGGCTTGTTCAACAACAGGGACTCACCTTCTATATCTGGGAGGCAGAAAAGGGCAACTGTACTAGTATATAATGATTTGGAAGTCTCTTGGACAGCTGTGACCAGCTACCTGAAAGCAAACTTCTCTTGCCTGGAGTTGCTGACTTTGTTAGATAATCTGTGGCTCTTGTGAGGAGCATCATCAGCCCAGATGGGAAATTTTTATTTATACTCTAACTGTATTTGCATGCACACACTTACATGTATTGTAGGCATATTTGGTAGATGGATAATAGCAGATTCCTTATGATAGTTTCAGACATCCCTTCTCCATAATTCTCCATAATTAAAATCCTTCCCTTTCTTTTCCATTTCTCCCTTCAGATCGCATGTTCCCTACTACTCTCCATTACTCTCTATTACTCCCCCACATCCCATAGTGCTTACTTTTACTTTTCTGGTTACTCTAGTTACTCCAGGTTATGTACTCACATCTGAAGATTTGGAGTTAAGAACTTCCTATGAGAGAGATCATGCTATGTCTGTCTTTCTGGGTCTGGGTTATCTCACTCAATATGATCTTTTGTAAGTCCATCCATTTACCTGCAAAGCTCATGATTTTAATTTTCTTTACAGCTGAATAGTATTCCACAGTGTATATGTACCACACTTTCACTGTCTGTTTGTCAGTTGAAAGACATTTAAGGTTGTTTCCTTTTTGTAGCTGTTGGGAATAGAGCAGCAATGAACATGGGTGAGCAAGTATCTGGAGTAGGATGTCAATTCTTTGAGCATATACCAAGGAATGGAACAGCTGGGTCATGTGCTGAATTTATTTAACTTGAGGATTTGTTTAATTGAGGATTCTCTATTTTGATTTCCATTGTGGCTGGTTTTTTTGTTCATGGTGTTTTCATTTCCTATGATTTTGTTTATGTGTTCTTGCTGGTTGGATTATTGGTATTCTTCTGTCTTCTTTTTAAGAAACAGTGGTTTGCTGTCTTGCCCATTGATGATTACTCTCCAGTTCTCCTGTATTTCTCTATTCCTCACAGGAAATTTATTATTTCCCATGTTCTCATGGATGATTCTCTGACTCTCCTGTGTATGTTTTGCCTTCATTTATTTATCTGCAGAGCTGCTTTAGTGAAATCAATTGTGTTAATTGGTGACTATCTTGAAATTCACTTATGTCTCCATCAATTTTAAGAGAGTCGTTTACTTTGTGCTACAGGATACTTGATGGTGATTTTCTCTTCAAGCCACAAATGTCTTTCCATGCTCTTCTGTCTTTGGGATTATTGACCTGACATGTGATAGAATTCTGTTGGTTGGGTTTTTCCATGTTCTCTAACAGCTTTCAGTATTAATATTAACTTTTCCTTCTTGACCCCTGATTTGAAAGGGAAGCAAGTCATCTATTCATTGTTCCTGAAAGAGAAACTCAAAGAAGAGAAACAGTAAGAAATGGCTGATTCCCCAGTAAACATGTCAAAGGTCAGTGGTCCTTTCCACTCTTTATCTAAATCTGTTATACTTTCATGTATTAAAGGCCTTTAAGTTTCTGATTCTCATAATTTTAAAATTTTTATTATGAAAAATGATACAAATAGACAAACAACAAAATCACATGCTGAAATTAAGCACCCCAAAGACTATGCAACTCAGTGTCCTTTTATACAGTTAAGAGTTGTCATAGGCAACCAAAGCTCTGGAGCCTCACATGGGATTTTATATTTTCACAGTTGAATATATTTTGACTTACTTATCAACCACCAAAATTAGACAGAATTAGAAGGGAAAAAAGCAATTAGCGTTACATCCTTCTTTTTTTTTTTTTTTTTTTAATTTTCCATCACAGGCAATTTATTTTGTTCTATTCATTCACAGTTAATACAGAAAATACTTGGAAACATTTCCATATAATGTTTGACACAGAAATCATCAAATAG